CGTCGTCGCGATGGAAGGGCTTGAGGGCCCTACGTAGAACGTCGGATGGGTCCTTAGCCAGCTTGGCAGGTCGATAGTGTAGGCATTCCCACTAGCGAGGTAATAGCTCCGAGCTTATCAAGCACGAAGCCGCATCGTCTGGTAGGTTAAGTAGTACATAACACTCCACACTAAAAAAACGGTTTGCCTTGATCACCTCATCTATCTGCGTACTCCTTTTTTGTCGACGCATCCACAAGGGGTAAAGCTCGTATCTCTAAAATTGTTGGGCTACTGTTACCTCAGAATTGTTTGAAATTTCGATTTTCAATTTCAGCAAAATTGTTTTTGCGTCATCACGCTACCGGCTTCGCGAACCTAAGGTAAGGTCACTGACCTTATCTCTATACGGGAACCAGTACGAGTGTAGCAGTTTGCAAACCGCTACCTCCAAGAGTACTTAGAACCTTTATCCAAGGCAAATGTACACTTCGGTTCAAATTGAGACTGTATTCATTTTTTGAGTTGCAGCAGAGCCGCCTTTATCTTGAACCTTAGGTTTAAACAGTAAAGCCTAATTTATATGCATAACTACTGGCAGTTCTACCACGTCGTGGCATCTTGTTATGGTGTAGCCGCACCGTTGTGTGATTATACCAACTTGTGTTATTCACACCTTTGTTGTGTGACCCACCCTTTCATACAAGGGTACGTGTAACCCCGTTACAAAGAACCCGTGTGATCACATTCACACTGATGAATAAATCCAGGGCGCCCCTGTACTTGCGCTTCACATCGCATCATTAATTGTATCAATATGGGAGGCAATGATTTGCCGAGTCCCTCCTTCACTTACATCAGAGACACCAACTATCGCACGAATTGGTATATGAGGGTGCCGCAAGCCATTCATAAACCATGACATAAACACAGTGAATGAATGAATTGAATTGTTCATGGCAACCTCAATCAATGGTAATAACAAACTTCATTCCGCGGCATTTTTCGCACAGAAACTTTGCAACACATCATCTTTCTGCCCGGTTGGCACGTTTTATTCGCCCATCGGTCTACGGGTGTGCCGCTGTGGACATATCAAAGCGAGTGCTAAGAATTCGGAACAACGCTTTTCAAAAGCCTCTCGTGAATTATGAATCACGATCGGAGACGGTGGCATTTGGCGTCTGGCAACCCGTGGTTGCGATAAACATGATCAATGAACAGTCTAGCCAAACCTTCGGTATTGATCGAATCGCTACACGGAGCGATGTGAGCCATCCAGCTGGGTCTGTCAACAAAGACGAACACCTTATTGTGGTCGTCAGCATTCTCGAGGAAACCAACAATAGAGTCGAGACCGAATGGCTTCCCATAATTAGTAGGAACAGGAAGACTCTGCAGTGTCAATTGCCGCGAGTCTTGTGCTCTTCACGTGATGACACACATCGCGTGTCTTCACGTATCGTGCAACCCACTGGTACATGTGGGGCCACCAAAATTGGGCACTGAGAGTCTTCTCACGGCCAAAGTGACCGGCCATCGGCGTATCCTGCGCCTCGTACACTATATTGTGCTTCTAATCATCGTTGTAGGGAACCTCAATTCGTGGCTCGTCGTCACGTGCAACCTCAAAGTGAAGGATGCCTTACATTCGTACATAACGATGCAACCTTGATTACAAGCGATCAGGAAGCTTGTCATGGAATTCCGTATCACTCGATGACAGTGCTCTGATAACCAGGTCACACTGTCCATCCTCAACATACGCTCGACGTACCATATCAAATACATCGTTTTCGATATAGCTGATACGACCTAGCTCATAATCAGGACGACGTGACAATGCGTCTGCCAGCACGGTGAGTTTCCCTGGCTTGTATGCGACAGTGAAGTTGTATTTAGCGAAGAATGAAACCACTTAGTCATTCGCTGTGACAAGTGAGGTGACTGAATTGCATAACGCAAGCTAGCGTGATCCATGTAGACGTCAAACGAAGTTGAACTTGAGAGGTGAATACAAAACTTCATAAGTGCACATTGCATTTGTAAAAGATCCTTGTCCGAACAGGATAGTTCTTTTCTGCTGGCTTAAGCTGTTACGATTGAAATGACACGACACGATCGTGTCCTTCTGAGTCCTTTTGAAATAATGAACAATCGATTGCAAACTCAGAAGCGTCACACACCATGCTATACGGCTTCGTATCATTTGGTCATTTTGGTGAATGCTTCTCCACAAATGGATGATTACTCTCAGGGTACATCCTTCTTCAGCAAGTATGATATCGGGCGTACCATGTCCGCGTAATTACGCGAGAAGCGATGTAGGTAATTGAACAAATCAATCCATTGCCTAAAATCTTTTTGACTACGTTGCGTCGGCCACTCCACAACTGCTTCGGCTATTTCTGGGTCTGCACAATCACCGTGTTCACAAACATAACAACCGAGGACCGGTATTCGTTAGCACCGAGAATACACTCTGCGAGATTCGCTTGCAATGAATGTTCACCCATACATCCCAGTACCACACGGAGGTGCTTCAAGTGCACTTCTTTGTTAGATCTGTCATCTCTGCTCTAGGGTCGAGGGTTGAGGGTATAGGGTTTATATTGTGTGTCCTTCAAATGGACAAGATACCGTCAAATTAGGTCTCTGCGAAGCGTCGCAGTGGTTGAAACAGATGGAAGATCAATCGAGAGACTCGGCCACTGTATTAGTAGGAGTAGTGTCATATACAGCCGCCGTTGGTTCCTTCGCCTTTTCAGTACACACATGTCGACAGGTTACTTTCATCTTGAGGGGGGAACAACCGACATCTCTCCCTCATAAATTCTTTT